GCCATCATTTCTATGGCCACTCCTGTCTCCTATGTCTACATTAAACCCTTGATTTAGGGGCTGGGGATTTAGCTCAGGGGCACAGCGCCTGCCTGGCAAGCGCAAGGTCATGAGTTTGATTCCCGGTACCGGGAAAAAAAAAAAAGAAACCCTTGATTTAATGGAAACTTTGTGAAGCCCAGCTACAAGAGGTCGTGGCTTGGGTGAAGAATTCATGGGATAAAATCTCTGACAACTGGTTGCCAATGCACTAGGAGCAGACAACATGGACAAGAAGTGCTCATTTAAGGAGAGCTCTATTGCTAGACAGGAGAGGTTGGGGCCAATGGTTCTACAGGAAATGGAGTCACAGCCTGGCATGGCGGCATATGCCTGTAATCCCAGCAACTGGGAGGCTGAAGAGGAGGATCACTGCCAAGTTTGAGGCCAGCCTGGGCTATATAGTTAGTTGAGGGGCATCCTGAATTATACAGCAAGGCCCTGTTCTCAAAAAACAAAAAAAAACAAGCAAAAAAAAGAAAATGGAGTCACAAGAAATTCAGGCTTTACCCTCAGTACCACAAAAACAGGGAAAAAAGAGACAAGACATTACATGACAAGAAAAAAATTATATATACCATTCCCAAATATAAGTATATAAAGAATACATTTCTCAATAGGCCATGCATAGGTCAAGACTGGAGGGTGTAGTTCAGTGGTACAGCACCTGTCTTCCCTTCCCAAGAAGAAAATATTTTGAACAATGTATCAGTGTTACAGGAAATGCAAACACTTATCTTAGAAACTAGAGCCAGGTGCGGTGGGCCAGGCCTATAATCCCAGCACTCAGGAGGCCATGGTGGGAGGATTGACTGCCATTACTTCCAGGCCAGCCTGGGCTACACAGTGAATCTGAGGTCAGCCTAAACTGCATCGTGAGACCCTGTCTCTCAAACAACCAAAAAAAAGAAAGCAGAGAGCCAGGGATATAGCTCAGTGGCACAGCACCTGCCTGGCAAGCTTGAGGTTGTACATTAGATTCCAGGTACCAAAAAAAAAAAGAAACTAGAAAGGCGTAAAAATTACCTAATTTTCTGCCTTAAAGTATTAAAAACAAATAAATACCAAATAAATAGATTTTAAAGACATGAACAGAAATCAATGAAAGGGGAAACACGCACAATATTTATGATGAAAAACACAAGTTTGTTCTTTAAAAGACGTAATTCAGCCAGGCATCATGGTGCATGCCTGCAATCTGAGAACTCTGGGAGGCTGAGGCAAGGGGATCTTAAATCGGAGCCCAGCCTGGGCAACTTAGCAAGACTCTGTCTCAAAAATGGAGGGCTGGGGATATAGCTCAGCGGCACAGCGCCTGCCTGGCAAGACGAAGGTCCTGAGTTCAATTTCCGGTACAAACAAAAATGGACTGGGAATGTAACAGTGTGAAAAGGCCCCGGGTTCAACTAAACCCCGGGTTCAACTAAAATGCTAAAGGAATAGCATTACAGAATGATGCACAGAACGGATTACAAAGGAATCCTATGAACAAAACTATGCCAATAAATTTGATTATGTGCCTGAAATGGACAAATTCCTTGAAAGACATGTTACCGACTCAATTCCTGCCCTCTGTAAGGTAAATCCAAATACCTGTGTAATGCGGCTGGCAGGCTGACACCTGCGCTGGGAGTCGGTTTGCTTTGTACTGTCTTACCAAGCATTTTTTTCTTCACTGTTCCTATTGCCTGAACTTAAATATACATAATCTCACATTTTCTGGCAAATTTCAAAAGTATGATCAACTCAATTCATCCTAAACGCAGCTTTTCTCCAGAGTGGGCTTATTCTCAAAATGTTACAAATACCTGATGTTTAGATCTTTGAAATTAGTACGTATTACAATGTTTTGAAAAATGAACAAAAATGCTGTTCAGCATGGTGGCACACATCTATCACCTCAGCTACTCAGGAAGCTGAGGCAGGAAGATCACAAGTCACAAATCTGACATCAGCATGGGCAATGTAAGCAGGCCCTATATCCAAACAGAAAGAGTTGGGTTAGCTCAGTAGTAGAGACTTGCCTCATACGTGGGGCCCTGGGTTCAATCCCTAGAACTGCAAAAAAAATGTTTTTACAGCTGTGGATTTCCCTGTAAGGAAGGAGTAGCAAACGAACTGCACTGTTTCTGTGACAATGACAGGTACAGTATTTGTGCTGGCGGACTAACTGGAGGTTCTCCTCTGCTGTTTCAAACATAGAATTGCACTCTAAGTAAGATGCCCCGGTGTAGAGCACCCGGTGTCGTCCTGTCCTGAAGACAGGCTATTCATACGAAGGCTGGCAGAAATGAATGGCAGTCCAGCGAGGGCACGGTAGGTAAATCCAAGGAAGTAGATTTGTTTAGAAGCTAGGATCAATTTATAAAGAATAGACATTACGGGGCTGGGGATTTAGCTCAGCGGCAAAGCGCCTGCCTGGCAAGCGCAAGGTCGTAAGTTCGATTCCTGGTACCGGAAGAAAAACAAAACAAAACCAAACAAAAAGAATAGACATTACATTAGGAAAAGAACATTTCTGATCATTCAGTCACAGTTAGTTTCAGAAGACTTAAATATAAACCAGAATCATCTCTACAAGTTTATTACAGACTGTCTTGTTATTTTATCTAAGGGGACATACGCCCTCTTTCTTAATAAGCCAGTCCCTACTTCATGACTATGCTTTTCTGGCTTTGCTGGCACAAGAACTCGTGTTGAGAGATGAGGTCGTTTTGGTATGTATCACTTTACAGAGTTTATGAACTTCCACCTTCCTGTCTGACTAGCGGTGACAGAAGAGACAATTTCTCTTACAGGCAGCCTGAGCCAGCATTAGGATTTTGGAACAGCTGGGTTTTGCTGCTTTTCCAGACCCAAGGTTGCTAAACCAATTAAGAAAATAATTTTATCCTTCTGCCTCAGCCTCCTGAGTACTGGATTACAGGCATGAGCCACCACACCTGGTTGAAAATAATTTATTTCAAGCAGTTACAGTGTAATGTAGTTGAATGATGTCTGTTTATTTGGTTGCACAATTTAATTGGTAAAGTCTGTCACCCTGTAGAAAAGGAAATACAGGGCTGGGGATAAAACTCAGGGGAACAGCACCCACATGGCAAGCATGAGGTTGTGAGTTCAATTCCCAGTACCAAAAAAAAAAAAAGAAAAGGAAATAGAGCCAGGCATGGTGGTGCACACCTGTAATCCTAGCACTCGGGAGGCTGAGACAGGAGGATTGATGAGAGTTCGAGACCAGCGTGGGCTACAAAGTGAGCTCAAGGCCAGCCTGAACTGCACAGCAAAACCCTGTCTCAAAAATAAAAAAAGCTAAATGAAAAGAGTTGCAGGCCAATTTAAAAATAAATCTGTAAGTGGGGTGCATGCCTATAATCCTCTTCTCTGGAGGCTGAAGCAGGACGATGACAAGACCCAGTCTCAAAAAAAAAAAAACAAAAATGCAGACAAAAAAAAGGCTGGGGATGTAGCCCAGTCATAGACTGCTGATTTCAATTGCTAGTGCCGCAAAATAGAAAAAGAAAATTAGCAAATAGAATCCTCTGCCATACAACAATATATGGCATCATGACACTACACCTGGAATATAAAGTTAAATTCACAATTAATGAACCTCAAAATAAAATATTAACAGAAAAAAGTGTGATCTTTATTATAAATGACCAAAACCAGCACTTGAAAACATTCAACACACGCTCATGATTTTAAACTCTTAGTAAACCAGGAACAGAATGAAATTTCCTAAATCTGACAAAGGGCTCTATCAAAATACCTATAACCAACATCAAACCTAAAAAAAGCTCCGTCAGTGGTACAGTGCTTTAGTAGCATCTTCTAGGCCCTGGGTTCAAACCCCAGTACTTATCACAAAAAATAAATAGAGCCTTTTTTTCCAGATACCTGCAATCCCAGATACTTGGGAGGCTGAAGCAGGAGAGCAGAAAGTAAGGTCAAGCCCTGGCTGGGTAACTTACCCAGATTCTATTTCAAAATAAAAAAGGACGGCTGATGTTGCTCAGTACCAGTTAATAGTAAGAAAGACTGGGGATGTAGCTTAGTACAAAGAAATATTAAAAGGAAAGATCTAGAACTTACAAAGATGTCCTCTAACCACATCTGCTTAAAGATATAGAAAAAATATTGGAAAACACAAATTTTAAAAAGGACATTAAAAGTACAGACTGGAGCCTGGCACCTGCCTGTAATCCCGGGGAGGCTGAGGCAGGAGGACTGCTGCTAGTTCAAGGCCAACCTGAACTGCAGCGCAGAAACCCTCTCTCAGAAAGACAAATGGTTAAAGTAGAATTACTTTATTTGCAGATGACATGACTACAGCAAACTAAAAACCGACAAAGTAGAGAAAATAAAACTTTGACAAGACTGGTAGATATAAAATCAAAACACATAAATCAATTTTAGCTGGGCGTGGTGGCTCACACCTGTAATCCCAGCACTCAGCAAGCTGAGGCAGGAGGATTGCTGTGAATTCGAGGTCAGCTTCAGCTACAAAGTGAGTTTAAAGCTAGCCTGAAGTGCCTAGTGAAACCCTGTCTCAAAAAGACAAAAAGAGTCAATTTTATGCATTTCTACGTACAAATTTGCTTGAACTTTAAAACATATTTCCGGGCGGGGAGGGGATTAAGATATAGCGCAGTTCACAATACTCTATTTCCTTCCCTCTGTAGTAACTCTGGGTTGAGCGTCACTAGATTTTTGGTCTTTCTGAGACAGGGTCTCGCTAAGCTGTTCTGGTTGGCCTGTAACTCGCGCGACCCTCCTGCCTCAGCCTCCGACGTGTTGGGATTACAGGCGCGCGCCACCACGTCCCGCCCCGCTTTCTGGAGACAAGGTCTGGCTATGCAGTTCAAACTGGCCTCGAACTCGCAGTTATCCTCCTGCCTCAGCCTCCCGAGTGCTGGGATTAACAGACGTGCGCCACCACGCCCGGCTCTGGTTTCTCAAACGGTTCCGGAGTGTAGCTGACCGGAGGCCGGCCTCGGAACGTGCGCGGGTCCGGAGTCAATCAACTCATCTTCAAGGTTGCCACCTTCCTGCGTCAGTAAAGCGGGCCGCGCACGGCCGCGGAGGACCGGGGACACCGCGGGCTGGAGACGTGCAGGGCGCATCCCGCGGGCGCCGCGCGTCCTCCGCGCTCCGCGTTTGCGCGCGGGGAGGGC